TATTTCTGACGACAAATATGAGTTCAGAACGAAAAATTGTATAGTCTGGCACTTTCCGTGAAAATCTCGTGAATAGTGTTTTTACCGGGTATTTTGTACTGCTGTTTAAGCAACCGGTAGAGTCCAGAAATAAATAATTGATGAAATAAGAATAAGAAAGTCCAATATATGCCAAGCAAGTCAATATAGGCCCAAGAAAATGATAAGTTTATAAGTTTTAAGTTTCATAAGTAAATGAAGTACAATTAGTGATTCAAAGTGCATTTCGTCAAAAACGGTGCAAAAACCATACTGTGAATTCTGAATATTGTTCCTTAGGAAATAAAAATTTATGTAAATGATATTAGAAAAAATAAAAATATATTTGTAGCCTTGAGTTAGTTCCGGGTTAGTTTAAGTGAAAATACGCGAAAGAAAAATACCTGGGTAAAAGGTCACATGTGTTTAAAACCTTAAGTGAATCAAATGATACAATTCCAAATCAGTTTCTCTCTCTTCCTTGCTCCAAAAACCCGATCTGCACCTAAGAAAGGGGGGGTTAGGGTTGATCTTTCTTCTTTGATTTCTCCACCTATAATCCTCCAAATCCAATGACCCACCACATGAAATTGCTTGTAAACCACCCAATAAAGCCATTCCACCCATCAATTTGAGCTTTTGTTGAGTGTGTGAAGAGTTATTCTCTCCCCCAAATTCGTGCACTATTCATCAAGAGGGCAAAATGAAGTTTTTGATGGAGATTCTCTTGGTGTAGGTCTTCTAGGCTTTGGGTAGTTGATTTGAGGTAACAAACCTCTATTTACATGATGTTGTTTTGATTATTTAAGTTATAAAATTGTGTATATGCCTTGGGTGGGAAAGCATGATGTGTTAAAATATGTATTGATGAGGAATAGTTGATATTTTGATGTATGAAATGAAAAGAAGCTTTGTAAGTATGTAAAAAAATTAGAGAAAAATCATGTCTTCCCTCTCTATCTTCGGCCTTTGATAGAGTTAATAGGATTTATTGTGCCAATTTAGTTGATGCTTTAAGAGGGGTTTTATGTGTTCAAGTAAGTATAATTTGGATGAATTAGTAAGAATATTACATTGGAAAGAAAATCCTTGGAAACATACCTTGATGTTTCGGCCTTGATGTGTTGTGAAGGACTTGGTGTCTAAACTCAAAATAGGAACCTAGTGGATGCATGCCTAAGTGTTTGCAAGTTGTAAGGAAGTAAAGAAAATGTATTGTAAAAGAGATGGATCTTTGGAAATTCCCCTTATAGGATTCGACCTATAGGGTATTTAGGGATATATTTTGTACATTTTATTTTAAATAAAATGTGTTGTAATAAATTGTATAAAAGTGATGAGTTTTGAAGAAAAATAGCATGATTTATGTTGAAAATTCCTAAGGGAATGGTTGTTTAAAGTAAAGAACACCAACGGTTATAAAGAGGTCTAGACTTGTGTATTGGCATAACATTGGCAAAAGTATAAAGAAAGGAAGATAGGCGATAAAATGTATGCCTTATGGAAAGTCTAGGCATGATAGCATTTTATAGATTTGTATTTGTGGATTCTTGCTCTAGGTGTACCTAGGGACTAAAAAGGATCGGAATCTCTTGAGGACATATAAGTAACTTGTGCAACAAGTAAGCGTATTGGTAAAGCTTCAAGAGGTAAGCTCTATGTTTAAGGAGTCTTTTCCTGCTTGAGTGTTCCACCATGGTTAGTGAACTATGGTTGGACTGTATGACTGTTATTTAGATGCTTTATATAGATGCATTCATATAGAGTTATTTGATAACATGATATGTTTTGCTCTGATATGACTTCTGTAATATGATTTCTGTAACAATCTCTGGTCATTGATTGTATAGTACCTGGATGTTCGCTTTGGGGTCCTCCCTCGGGACTGATGGTGTACGCCTCTGATATGTCTGGTTCCGCTTTGGGGTCCTCCCTCGGGAACACGTGCGTTGATTTTCGCTTGGGGTCCTCCCTTGGGAATGACGGCGCACATCTCTGATATGATATGGATATATGCTTTGTTCTGTTATGATATCTCTTATATGTTGTATTTGTATACTCTGTATCTGACTTTCATGCAGGAGTGAGCCAGGGGTATGGAGAACTCTCTATAAACCTGGAGCTTATTGAGATTTGTAATCTCACCCCTCGTTGGGGACATATTTTCAGGTGCCCAGATTCTCGGTGAGTCCTCACGAGGCAGGGACGCGACACGTGGCTGAGGCAGTTGACGGATCAGATTTTGAGTGGCTGTAGGCTACTACTTTTTGGAAGTATATTCATGTCATTTTGTATTTCCGCCTTTGATGGATCATGACATTGATCCTTTATTTTGTATATGGCCTGTATATGTTTTGTACATGTCTGTCAGTTTGATGCATGTACATTTGAGTATTCAGGAACGTTATATGATGATGTAGTATTCAGATAGGTTTACGTTTGATGGCATGCTGTTAGATATAGTGGCACTGAGCCATGTTATGCATGCGCCCATGTATGGGTATTTGATTATATTTGGATATCTGGTATTTCTGAATTGATATGTTGTATAAACTGTTTATCAGGAAATGCTTCTGAGTGGGATTGGAAAATCTCCAGTTGTCCGATTTATAGAGGAAATTCTGCCCGATTTTCGTTTACGCCAAGTAAGAATTAAGTTAGAAAAAGAAAAAGTTAGCTCATATTTTCGTAAGTTAAGTCTTCCGCTGTTTTCTGTTTTATCATATGTATGTTAATTGAACCGGCTCGAGACGGGGATGTTACACTAGTGATCTTAGTTTGTGCACATACTTCACATTTGTCAAATCGAATATAGGTATCCAATGGAATATCGTGAGTTTTAGCTAGATGTTGCATTTTTCTATAGTTCACATGTGCAAATCTATTATGTAACAACTTTGGATCAATCAAATTCGAACATACTTGGTTTATGCTTATTGTATCTAAACTCAACATATACATAACATTAACCATGAGTGCACAACCAAAATAATATGAGTTAATAGATAAAGTTACTTTACCATTCATAGTTGAGAAAGATATACCAGCTTTATTAAGAAAACTCAGATATCAATTTCTTTTTAAGTAAAAGAACTACTCTAACGTATTTTACAGTTAGCGCTTTACTTGAAGAAAGCACCTAAGTCATCGAATACCACCACCCTAATCACTCGACATGAACCACCACTATCGCTAGTAGCTACCACCATCGCCATCGATTATGCCCCCACATTGCCACTAGTCACTGTTGGCGCCGTTACCACCATTTTCATCGGCCACTTTCACCACCGCTCCAACCATCATTGTCACCATTGTCGTTGGCCACTATCACCTCAAACCACTGACCACTGCCACCTCAACCACCTAACACCAACCATTATCGCCACCACTGCCATCAGTTAGCCATAACAATCATCTTCGGTCATCGCCACGCCAGTGATGTCACCACCATCCATCGTTCTTAGCCCCCACAATCGCCACCCCCACCCGCCAATGTCATTAGCTACTGATATTGACAATCAATTTAAAACTTAATTTTATAAATTTATTTGGTGAAAATATAATTTTTTATTGTGAAAAAGATTCATAAATTATTTATATATTTTATTTAAAATTGTGACTTTCAATATTTGTTATAATTTAAAATAAGTATTAATGTTTAAATTTCAAAAATATATTTTGAAAAATCATAGAAAATTTTGTTAAAAAGGTATTTTTTGTGTATTTATATCATATTTATCTTGACATCATATGATTCGCTTCAAATACTGGATAAGATAATATTTATCCTAACTGTCTGTTTATCTAATGCATATCAAATACAAATAGGATATCATTTACCAATAAATAAATAAAAATACAAATAGGATATAAGTTGTCCATAACATTTTTTACTATTCTATTCATTCTTATCCTATTTTGTCTAACAAATAAGCCTTAAGTAGCGTATTCATATTGCTAAAGTCACTAAGGTAATATAAAAAATGTTCGGTCCAACTAAATATAGTGTGCGCTAATAAATTGCTAATCTAATATGTTCTTATGCTAGCCATAGAATAGTAATATTGGTTTCGAACTTACTATTTTTTTAGTTATTCATACTGACCTGGATAATTTTTATACAAATACAAGGCTTAGAATTAAAGCCTTCACAATAAAACAAGGCTCTTAGTCCACAAAGACTGTAAAGCCCATCTCTCCAAGCTGCACAATAGTAAAGGTTATCACAGCAAGCTCCTCAACCTTAAAGACACATGACAACAAACTCCTCAACATTTAATCATGACAGCCATACTACTTTGGCATTAAAGAACCTTTGCCTTTACCATGAAGAAATGCATCTTCCAAGCACACATCGCTCTACAATAAAATACATGTATCAACATTAAGGTACATCATCTTCTCCTACATAATTAAATCTGTTTGAACCATAACTGACTTGAGCGTTGGAGTGTCTTGCAGGTACACCCCTCATCTCGTTCCATAGAAGACCCATGGATTAAAGCTGCTCAAAACTCTAAGATGCTCTGACCCAAGGAAGTTCCAGGTCTTTGTGTAGAGGAAAATCACATAATCGGCCCAGTTGTAAAGATTTGTTCTGATCACATACTATCATAGTATAAAAATATAGTTTGTGCAATTTATTTAACTAATTTATATTAAAATATTTAAAATTATTTATCAAATGTATATTTCTTTTAAAATGACTCTTAAATCTTTAAAATGAGAAACTTATTAATTTTAATAGTTGATTTTCTATTTTAAGCTTGTGAATTAGCTTATATCAGGGCGAGCCACACCGAACCGGGTCAACTCAAGCCCAAACATATTCAAACTTAATTTTTCTTATAAAAGCCCAGCCCTCAGGATCCGTTTAAAGTTGGATTTGTTTCAATTGAACCCGACCCATAGACCCGATTTCAGTTGCACGGTGAAGAAGTAACCCTACCCTAGCATAAGCTATATGCTTTTCTGAACGCCTGTGGGAACGTTCCCAGCACACGATTCTCTCTCTATCCGATCACATCCCTTCGGAAGAGAGTTTCACTCTTCAATTTTGTTTTTGCCAGAATTTTCCATTCAATCGCGATCATAACATAACATTCCCCTTTGTGTGAGTTGAATAAGGTTTTAATTCGACATGTCGGATCGGTTGACGCGTATTGCCATCGTGAGCAACGACAGGTGCAAGCCCAAGAAGTGCCGCCAAGAGTGTAAGAAGAGTTGCCCTGTTGTCAGAACCGGTAAGATCTGATTTTCCCCCTTTTGGGGCTCAATTATGGGATGAATTTTTTTGTACCCTAACGCCCCAACGAACTTCAAAATTTCAAACTTTAGCTGGAGCTTAGATTTGGGTTTTTTTTTTTGGGGGGGGGGGTGGGGCTGGGGGAATTTATGTTAATGTAATTTATGTGTCTTAATTACGATGGGGTTTATCATGATTGACTAGTTATGGGTTTGATTGCAGGTAGATTGTGTATTGAAGTTACTTCTGCATCGAAGATTGCTTTTATATCTGAGGAATTGTGCATTGGATGCGGTATTTGTGTTAAGGTATTGAATATGCCGTTATTGTGTTGTTATCTTTGCTCCTAGTTGATGAGGTTTATGTGATGAGGTTGTTATCCATTGGTGTAGAAATGCCCTTTTGAAGCTATCCAGATTATCAACTTGCCAAAGGACTTGGATAAAGACACCACTCATAGATATGGTCCTAATACTTTTAAGCTACATAGGTGAGTTATTTAGCTGCATTTTAGTTGAAAAATTGGTGGCCGTCTGTTTTCTTTAGTTTGTGATGAAAATAGTTATGATGCATGGCAGGTTGCCGGTGCCAAGGCCAGGGCAAGTGCTTGGATTGGTCGGGACAAATGGAATTGGAAAGTCCACTGCCCTTAAAGTTTTGGCTGGAAAATTGAAACCGAACTTGGGTCGTTTCACTGTAATAGCTGAAATTAGCTTTTCTTTACTGCCAACTTGTTTGAGGCTTTATTTCATTCATTTGAATTTCCTTTTCTTTTGCAGAATCCCCCGGATTGGCAGGAAATTTTAACCTATTTTCGAGGATCTGAATTGCAGAATTACTTTACTCGTATTCTAGAGGATGATTTGAAGGTGATGTCTGTGGCCTTGATCAATACTAATGCATGCAATGATGTTTTAATAATTTTGACTCTCTGGCAGTCTAAGACTGAACCAATTATCATGTGCTCTTTCATAACTGTGTTTTTCCAATTTGGTTTTTGTGTTTACTTTCTAATCTTCTTAGTTGACCAATGGCCAAATATGTGCAGTTAGAGTTCATGAACCTAATCTGTTAAAATTGCTTCAACTAAGAAGGGATACAATAATTTTGTGAATAGAGTCAGGCAAGTTTATTATTCTGTTGTCCCCTTTAAATGACTAATTTACAGCATGTGACATTGACATTAACTAAACGTAGCTGAAAACATGTTGGGAGTTCGTTACAGTGCTATGTAGAAGAGGCTAGTCAAATTACGATATAAATAATGTTCAAAGCACTAGGAAAGTCCAAGTTAATTACTATCAGAAATTAGTGAGAAACCCGTGGAAATCGACAGAAAATCAGAGAAGAGAAGAGAGAGAAGGTTTTGCAGAACTTTAGTGTATTGCGTGTAAGAGAGAGAAAATGAAAAGATTACAAAGTCTTCTGTTACACGCTCTATTTAAGAGCAACATTGAAACTCAAAGTTGACTCATCCTATCCAACTATTAAACTGAACTAAACTGAATTACTTACATATTCTAACCACTAAGGATAGATGCTTAACTTTACACAGTCGTATGCTAAAGATATACCACTAAACGGTAAGGACAAAAGGTAAAGTTACACTAATAATTATGGAGCAGTTTTTATTCAAAATGTTTGTTGCTGCTGTGGTGTGTTGCATCATAGATATGCTTTAATTAGTGCTCAAGTTAGTATGTGTTAACTAATTATTCGCAGAACTATTTGTAGGAAACTGTATTATCATATATTGATAGATTGAAATACCTTATTTTCATAAATAAACTTTCTTAACTGTTAGAATATCCAGATGATACCGTATAATATTAAGATTATATCATAATATAGTTTAGAGTATCCTAGGTCTCTTAGGATTAATTTACCTATTTCCTTATATTTCATTATTTGTTTTTGGAGGCTGACTTATATTTGTTAGTTTATTACTAACCATATCATCAACCTATTATTATGTTAATACAAAGTTGGAAAGCCTTGTGATATATTAATGTAAATTTTTGAAGGTATTGCAATCCTTAGATAGTTATATCAACATCAACAACACCTTTATCTCAAACTAATTAGGGTCGATGGTAGATGAACCCAAATGAAAGGTACAAAGGGATTAAAAATAAAAATAAAATGATAATAATATATATATATATAGGGAAAAGTGTTTGTCATTTTAAATGACACAATTTTGTGTCATTTTAATTAAACTACGTCGTTTTGGTGTGTTTTTTGCATTCTCTTTTCTCCATTTTCTTTTTTTCCTAATTTTATAAAAAAGAAAAAATGTAAAAAGATACCAAAAACACACCAAAACGACGTAGTTTCATTAAAAATGACACAAAATTGTGTCATTTAAAATGACAAACATTTAACCCATGTATATAAAAGTAAAAATAAAAGGGGTGTAAAAAATAAATTAATTAATTAATTAAAAAAAAGATTGGGAAGGGGAAATGAGATAAAGGAAAAGTAGGGGGAAAGAGGAGGGGGGGGGGGAGATGAAAAGGAAAAGGACTAAAAATGGATCATCTGGAACATAGGAATAAACAACGGGTCTAACCTAAAAAAGTTATATATGCTTTCAAATTTTAGCGCTGATCGTGCACTGCACCTAAAAAAGTAAATGTTGCGTTGTAACAATCACTGCATAATTCTTTATCCTTTTATTCTGAAACTTCCTTTTTATCTATACTTGATAGCCTAGCTTTTGTTGTGCTTACATTTTTCTGAATATTCAATCATAACTTTAAGCGTTGCTTGAATTTTGTATTGATAAGATGGTATACTGCTTTAAAAAAGTTTTCTCTTCCTGCTAGTAATTGTGCTTATTTTAATATTTTTGTGTATAATATAGGCTATCATCAAGCCTCAGTATGTTGATCACATTCCAAAAGCTGTGCAAGGGAATGTGGGGCAGGTGCTAGACCAGAAAGATGAGAGAGATGCGAAGGAGGAGCTTTGTGCTGATCTCGAGCTTAACCAGGTTATAGATCGTAATGTTGGTGATCTTTCAGGTGGTGAGCTCCAAAGGTTTGCCATTGCTGTTGTTGCCATCCAGAATGCTGAGATATACATGTTCGATGAACCTTCTAGTTATCTTGATGTGAAACAGAGGCTGAAAGCTGCTCAGGTTGTTCGATCATTGCTCAGGCCTAATAGGTTTGTGCCCTTTTATCCCAGTAGTATCTGCTTTAAATCTTGACTGTACCTCGATGTGTACTTTCCCTGATTACTTGTCAAGATAAATATTGAATTTGTTTGCAATTTTCTTTTTCCAGCTATGTAATTGTTGTAGAGCATGATCTTAGTGTCTTGGACTATTTATCGGACTTTATTTGCTGTTTGTATGGCAAACCTGGTGCATATGGAGTGGTAACACTTCCTTTCTCAGTCAGAGAAGGAATTAACATCTTCTTGGCTGGCTTTGTTCCAACAGAAAATCTGAGGTTCCGGGATGACTCTCTTACCTTCAAGGTAATTATAATCTATGCATCTCCTACCACTCATTTGCTGAATATATACCCAATTTGGGTGATGAAAATGAAAAGATTCAGGCTGAAATTGATTTGGCGTGTTTGTTTAAACACGTCAAAAAAGAAAATTGAGTAAAGAAGTGCTGAAATTGTTTAGCATATTGGAGGTTGCCGAATATATTCAGCAACAATTCTTTCCTTATTAAAATTATTACTTGTCTGTAGGTTGCTGAGACTCCACAGGAAAGTGCTGAGGAGGCTCAGACATATGCTCGATACAAATACCCTACCATGACCAAAACTCAAGGCAATTTCAGGCTTCGTGTAGTTGAAGGAGAATTTACTGATTCTCAGATTATTGTGATGCTGGGTGAGAATGGGACTGGAAAGACAACATTTATTCGAATGCTGGTATTCTTCAGTCATATTTATTTCTTCATGGAACTGATTATTTCTTCCACATATCTATTCACATTACTCCTCCTTATTATTCAGGCTGGTTTATTGAAACCTGACGCCGTAGAAGGTGGAGCTGATGTGGAGTTGCCTGAGTTTAATGTTTCATACAAGCCTCAGAAGATTAGCCCAAAGTTCCAGTCAACTGTTAGACACTTGCTACATCAAAAAATACGCGATGCATACACTCATCCCCAGTTCATATCTGATGTGATGAAGCCACTTCTTATTGAACAATTAATGGACCAAGAAGTTGTGAATCTTTCTGGCGGAGAGTTGCAAAGAGTTGCGTTATGTCTCTGTCTTGGAAAGGTATTATAAACTTCATCTTTGAGAACGAACTGCTTGAGATTGTTTATGCACCATAGTGTCTCTGCCACATTCTTGAATACCTTCATAGTTTCTCTAGGCCAGTTTCCGTATAATGAAAACGAGTTTTGTGCTAATCCTTTGTTAAGTTTTTGGAACTTCTTGATTTGGTTGCATGCTTTCTCTTTTGCTGTAGTGTATGCCTTTATTTCAAACTAAGTGTATGCCTTTATTTCAAACTAAGTAGTAATTAACTTTTCCTAATTCATTACTGTTATACGATAGCAGACTGCAGACATATATTTATATGTGCTAATGCTGTGGCAAGATTATTGGAATTATATCACTTGTTTTTGTTGGCTGCTATTCTTTGTCTCATAGTACAATTTATGCCCCTATTTATTTGAAACTAAATCGCATTTAAAGTTTACTGACTCATCAATATTCTACCATAACAGCCTGCAGACATCTATTTGATAGATGAGCCAAGTGCATATCTTGATTCGGAACAGCGAATTCATGCTGCCAAAGTCATCAAGAGATTTATTCTTCATGCAAAGAAAACAGCTTTTGTGGTTGAGCACGATTTCATCATGGCAACTTATCTTGCTGACAGAGTTATTGTTTATGAGGGTCAACCATCAATTGATTGTATTGCAAATTCTCCACAATCATTGTTGACCGGGATGAACCTTTTCTTATCTGTAAGTATCATTACTTTCAATGGTTCCATTATTTTTTTTTCCCCTTTCGATTTACAGTATCCTGCATGTTAAAAATTAGATTTTGCTCTGTGCTGGTGCTTGCATGGTGGATCTAATGTATTTCATCACTGTTGTAGCATCTTGATATAACATTTAGAAGAGACCCAACTAATTTTCGCCCAAGGATCAACAAACTTGATTCAACCAAGGATAGAGAACAGAAGTCTGCTGGGTCTTATTATTACCTTGATGACTGAGTTTTTATTTACGGGAAGGTTTGTCCTTCTGCATTTGCTATTCCTCTTATATTAGAATGCTTTTCATGGCAACTGGAAACTGACCCTGTTACCTTTTGTTGCAGTTGCTCTTTCTCCAACACAACAGTGCATCAGTTTGAGCTTTTCATGCGATCTCAGCTTTAGTTCATTTGATGCCTTGACATATAATGTTGTCCTTTTTCCCTTTGAAGGCATCTTTCTCAATGAAGAGTCTGCATGCAGGCCATATGCTGGTTGGTGCATTTGTATATGTTTCCCTAATATGTAGTGCAGTTGCTCATCACCAGTTTTGGTATGACTTAGGTGGGTGAATCTGAATACTTCATGAGTTTATATTGGTCTTGGCTTTACTTTTGATGTCCCAAATTTAGAGGAACATTCATAATGTCAGATTGAGTTTATTGCCATTTTGGCTCTCATAATTTATCAGTTGAACATGTAACGGAGTATATGTTCACTCCAATGTTCCTTGATTTTGATAGATGTCTCCTGTTTGGAATATATTGCCAGAGGGTTGATATTTTAATGGTTATCATTACAGTTTTAGATGAAATTACGGGTGGTTGTTTATGTGAGACTATTTGAAGAGTTATTATATTCCTCCCGAATATCATTTACAAAATGTGTTTTATTACATATGCCCCTGTGCTTTGTAAAAAATAAGAAGGGAAAAGTTCACCAATGCCCCTGTGGTTTACTTCAGAATCACTTATGCCCCTGTGGTTTTTTTCTTATCACATATGCCCCTGTGGTTTGTAAAAGGGTATGTTTTTTATCACATATACCCCTGTGGTTTCTTATTTTTTACAAAACACAGGGGCATATGTGATAGAAAAAAAACCACAGGGGCATAAATGATTCTGAAGCAAACCACAGGGGCATCAGTGAACTTTTCCCAAATAAGAAACCACAGGGATATATGTGATAAAAAACATACCTTTTTACAAACCACAGGGGCATATGTGATAAGAAAAAAACCACAGGGGCATAAGTGATTCTGAAGTAAACCACAGGGGCATAAGTGATTCTGAAGTAAACCACATGGGCATTGGTGAACTTTTCTCAAAAAGTTATTCTTATAGGGAAATGATTCAACTAATTGGACCAGAAAAATAAAAATAAAACAAGTTAATGTTAAAGAAAAAGTAATTATTGAACAAAAAATAAATATATTAATCAAACTCATAATTTGCCCATTTTTTTTTTAAGTTTATCTTTTTCTCCTTTTGACCTCCTTATTCTAGTCTGGTAGTTTATGGCCACCGAGAATATAGGTTAGTAACCACACACATGTAGTCTTTCAGAAACAAGAATTAAATAAAAAACGAAGAAAAATTAATCTCCCAGATGTATTCTTATATTTATTTTGCACCATGTTACGTAAAGATTTTCATTGCAAAGGTGCTGGTTCAATTGTCGTCACTAGAATCATTGATATCATTGGTTGCAATCTATAAATACTACTATTTAGCATCGCTAAAGTTTGTACCAATGTCTCGGCCTTGAAATGAATAGCCTTCCCTCTTCATAAACTTTCTATAGGTATCCCTCCTTATCCAAAACCAACATCAATAAGACTATAACCTACGGATTTTCGCAATCCTTGGTCCTGGATAAATTGTCTCAAGTTGGTAGCATCTTTCCAGCTTCCTGCAGCAACATACATATTTGCCAACGATATGTAATATCCAACATTTTGAGGTTCAAGTTCAAAGAGACGTTCAGCAATTTGTTTCCCCAACTTGAGTTCTCCATGATAGTTGCATGCACTTAAGAGCGTTCCCCATACACCTGAGCATGCTTTGGATTGTAACCCCTTGGCAAACTCGTAAGCCTCATCTAGTCTTCCTGATCGGCCAAGCATGTCAACCACGTAAACTTGATGCTCAATCTCAGGTTGTACTCCATATTTCTCCAACATACATTCATAGTACCAAAGACCTTTGTTCACGAGTCCTGCATGGCTGCATGCAGATAAAAGGCTAACAAAAGTGCTCTTGGTCACCCTGGTTCCTGACTCCCACATTTCATGGAAGAGTTTGATTGCTTTCTCACCATTCCCATGATATCCATAAGCAGAAATCATTGAATTCCAAGCTGATTCGGACTTCTCCTCTGAATGTCTGAATACTTGAAGAGCAGTGTCTAATCTTCCACAGTTGCTATACAAATCTACAAGAGCTGCTGATATGAAAGAATTATCTTGAATTCCAGACCTGAACACGTGGGCATGAACTTGTTTTCCATGTGTTATGAATCCAATTTGAGTGCAAGCAGAGAGAACACCAACAATGGTGATCTCATTTGGTTTAAACTGAAGTTGATTAAATAGTTCCAATGCTTCTCTACTTTCTCTATTATGAGTTAAAGCTGAGATCATGCAGTTCCATGAGCATATATTGGGAATAGAGCAGAATTTAAACACTACTCTGGCACTGTTGATGTCCCTGCATCTGTCATACATGGTAATTAACGAGTTCTGAACACGAGTATCTGATCCCAAAGGAGCTTTAAGGGCAAGGCCGTGTAGAGATTTTCCTTGACTGAATAGTTCAAGGTTTGCACAGGCTGACAAGACACTTACAAGGGTTATGGAGTCATAGTTGAAAGGAGTTTGCTGTCTCATTAATCTGAAAGTCTCAAGAGCCTCTCGAAAATGATCACCTCGTACACAGCCCACAATCACTGTGTTCCATGAAGCCATATCCGCTAAAGCAGAATTTTCATGCAAAATTGAGAAACTGGCTCTCAGGTCTCCACAATTAATATACATATGCATGAGAAAATTTACTAAAATAATGTGGCTCAAAAATCCAGATTTTAACTGCCAGCAGTGAACTGATTTTCCAAAGTGGAGACTATTAAGGGAGCTGCAGGATGAAAGAATAGCAAAAACAGTTGAGGAGCTGCAATTTGGACCCCAACATAGCAGCTCTCTGAACAAATTTTGAGCCTCTTTAGAATACTTGTTCTGGGAATAGCCAGATATCATTGCATTCCATGAGACTATGTCTCTCTCGGTGGTAGAATTGAACAAAAGCTGGGCTTTATCCACAAGGTTGCACTTTGAATACATGTCTATCAGGCTGTTCAGCAAAGGAAGATGATCAGATACCATCTGTCTTCGAATTGCGAATCCATGGATAGTTCTTCCTTCCCTGGAGAGCATCAGTTCTGAACAAAGTGGAAGTATGGTAGTTAATGTTACCATATCGGGTTGGAAAGACCCTTTTATTTGCATTTCAATCAGAAGATCAAATACTTCATTAATCTTTTCGTTTGAAGCAAATCCTTCCATCATTGCATTCCAGGAAACAATGTCTTTATATGCTATTCCTCTGAATACATTCTCAGCAACCTCGATGTCCCCACATTGTGAATATAATGAAATGAGAGAGTTGGCAACTGAAACATATGAGCTATCCTTGTAACCTAGCTTGATTCCCAGCCCGTGAATGGACTGGCCAAAAGCCAACTCTCCCAAACTTGAAGACGCTGAGATAGCACAAGATAGACTAACATTGTCTGCTTTTTCTTCAGAAAGAGTCATCTTTTTGAAGTAATACAATGATTTCTCGGGATCACAATTGTAAAGACTTCCTCTCATTATTGAATTCCATGAAACAGCATCTTTATACTCCATCTCTTCAAATAGACACTCAGAAGAGCTTAGATCACCACACTTAGCGTACATGTCAATAAGTGCATTACCTAAACTGATATCCACAAGCATTCCAAATTTTATACTCAAACAATGAATTGCCCGTCCTTGATCAAAATTTTTCGTGTGTAATGAAGCTGATATCATAAGCAATAGAGTGGTGGAATCAAATCCAGTTTGGGCCTTGATCATTTTCTCAAAGAAGTCCATTGCTGTCCAATAGCTGTTATTTTCAAGAGAAGCTGCAATAATAGCATTCCAAGCAATCACATCTCTATTGTGAATCTCATCAAACAAATCCCTTGAAGAGGTGAAGTCTCCAGCCTTAGAATAAACAGTGAGTAGAGATGTTGATGTGGAGAGATGAGCTAGAACACCTATCTTTAAGGCTGCACAATGGGCAATAATGGCAGTCACAATTGTAGGTCTTTTGAGGGACAATCTAATGTAATCAACAACAAGCTCAAAATGGATATCTCTCCCATGTAGAGCCCTTTGTAGCATTTCTTCAAACAGCTGAATGCCAGTGCAAAAACGACGACAATAAAGTGACAACAGGGTAGGAGCATTGGGAAGAATGGCAACCCTGTGTCGCTGAACAATGCTGAAGTTCCCATTTTGGTAGTTCTGCGAAGAAAATGAATGGGATGATGGTGATCTTCTTGGTCGAATCAAGGCTAAATTTTGATAGACCCGTCTTGTAACGTGCTTCAGCGGCAATTGGAAAACTACCCATGTTCTCATTTTCGCTTCATTCTTGATTGTAGCTATGAAAAATCCTGTCTTGCACTGAAGGACGTGAATTTGAGAACTCTGCAATTTCGATGACTATGCAAAGGAGTAGAATGGTTCCTACGAAATAACTCACTCTTCTTCGTAGAAAAGATTTGGGCAGTCTTCTTATGACTTTGTGGGATTGGTCTTGCCAAAACTAGTTCAATTGAGTTTTGGGAACAAAATGCTAATTGAATTTTGTTTTGAAATCAAATATTTTTGAATTAGGGAGTTTCATTTCCAACAGCTAATCAGATAACTAAATGCGGAAAAACAAATCCATTAAAACATGATATTCCCTGAAATTATTGTAAATTATTCTGTTATTAAGAATGATTATTAGTTACCATATATTAAACTTGATTTTATGCTAGCAATTATTCAGCTAGGTCTATACATTGTAGTGAAACCATGTCCAGTGATTAATTCAAAAAATAATATTGAGCTCTTTTCTATTCAAGTAGAGCATCATCTTACCATTGTTACACAAGAACCACATTGTCTCATCTGTCTAACAATTAACATCCTCAACATGGATACAGATTCTTTACTTGTGTAAGTATACAATCTTGGTCTTGACAATGAGTAACCACCTTTGAATCTCGTGTGTATCCCCGGTCCATCATAGTGTTTAAACAAAACATGATCCTGAAGTTGACCTCACCAAGGTGGATGATCATCTGCAGAAGTTTGAGGAGGGATTGGCTTCCATCCAGGTTTCTCATCCCAGTACATATCATAATATATATGACCAGGAGTGTGATCCATCACACAGCACCATATACCCACATACCGTTTAACGCGATTTCTGAATCTATCTTCCCTTCCCTGTTTAAAAAAAAAAGGAAGGGTATCAGGATATGCTAAATGAACAAGAGTTTCTTAGCATCTATGATGAGAACATAAAAAGCCAAACTCCAAACGGCATAAGCAAAATGGCCTTGCCTTGTCCGTGAAACCCGTGAAAGCATCTTGCATTGAAGAGAACTGGATGACTTTTACATCCTTTAATGATGAGAATACTTTCATGAACTGCAAATTCAAGTAGAAATAACCATGTTCAATGCATTTTGAAGAGAACAATGAAATAATGCATAATCAATTTGTAATTCTTTGTTTTAACTGGGGGAGTAATACTATAGGCCTTTAAAGTTTAAACAACCATGAAATCATGATTATTTGATAAAAGAAGCCTCTATTTTATGGCATGGGCCTGTGGTAAGGGTGGTTACAGCCTACATGAAAAGAACCTCTCTTTGCAATTCCTAGAACGCTGTCCTTCATCTTCCAGGAAATAATGATAATTAAAAAAAAAACGCAGACTAAAGAAGACCAGCCATCATGCATCTTTGGGTAATTGGTTAGAAATAGTATTAAGTGGAATGAATTTCGGAGGAACTACTTCTGAAAGAATGAGTTTTATGTTTGGGAATATTCATCCAAAAGTAATTTTGGGAAATTGATAGAGAAATACTAAAATTACTTTTGAATCTTACTTCCAGACTTTCTTGTGATATTCATCCAAGATTTTCTTACTTTCAGCATAATTTCTTCAGGGACCTAGAATTAGTTTTGGGGTTAGCAGTCAAACATGACAACTTGGCTAACAAAATTACTTTTAGATTCAGAATTGATTTTCATACTCAAGACATAATATAACTCAAATTTCTCCCACCACATTTTTCTATGTGAGCTTTCCGACCAGCTCCTTAATGCAAGTTAATGAATTGACTTTGTATAACCAAAAAGATCTGGCACACAAAGATGATCATATAAATATAGTTTATAGTGTTGATTTATAAGAATTTTAATCTTGAACTGAAATAACCATTAAATGGATCAAAATTTCAAATACCATTTCTTCATTGCTATGCTTTGGAAATTTTAATACTCCCCCAACAGAGGTATTATTTGATGCATGACAATCTTGGGTTCCTTCTTTACATAGGTGAACATCAAGCCATGACTTTTTCACCTGAACTCAAGAACCAAGGCATAAGTTTCCATTGAGTAAGATATAACAAAAAAGGATAATTCATGGTTTAAACTTTAGATGGAAATGACATTTATTCACCTGTGAGGGCAGAGAGGGATTATCAAGTATTGAATACTCTCTAATATCTATTCCAGGGCCAAACGCTTCCTCTGGGAGTTCTTGCAACATGACATTCACCTGCAATAGATTACATTTCCATAGAGCAGCATAAGGCAGTGACAGAAAAAATGTTTTATTTATGTAAATAAGGGAGAAACAGAGAGAGAGAGAGAGAGAGAGAGAGAGAGAGAGAGAGAATAAATAGGTACGAGGTCACATTAAATGTTGTAAACTAACTAATGTGCACAGAAAAGGAAAAAAAAAAGGTCAATATTCTGCAGGGCTCTTCTCTCAGCTCCCTACTTAAATGACTTTCATGAATTAGTTTGTAGAAAGACTACATCTAATTTAGGAAAATAGATGAGAAGAAAATAACTCGAAAGCACAAAGTTCTAAATCATAATAATAAAAAAAAATTAATTAAATGAAATAAAAACATAAAATTTCCTTATTTGATTTTACATAGATCATCCAGAGGACAGCATGCCTACACTCGAAAAAAAACACCTAAAGAATTGTGAATGCTTTTATTATAAATAATAACATATGGATTATGGACAAGAAGTGGTAAGAAATATAGTGTGTAAATGAAAAATCATTCCACTCTTCAAGCTGATTCAGGCTCCATTTGCCTTGTCCTCCTTGAAATTATAAGCATGAATGAAGTCTATAAAGTGGAAGGCTTTGATCACAACTAACCCCCATCAAAGGTCATCCAATTGATTCAATATCATATAGCAGTAACTGGCACTTATGGCAAAACCACTAGACACAAAACCAGACTTGGTGTTTGTGTCTCCCGGGGGTAGAATTAAACACCTAAACTTGGTGTTTTTGTTTCCTCCTAGTTCTGCTGATGAAGTCATTCCAGAATCTAGACTCACCTCCAATGCTAGCTCAAAATACTCCAACCCTACTTCCTAAGTCTGACCTTCCGGTTGCTCTCCAAAAAGATATACAGTATAATCGTAACCCTTTTCCTTATGTTAATTTGAGTTATTATCACCTTTTTTCTTGGCTTTTTGCCTTTTTCCTTGTCCTTTATGTTTATTCCTAAGACTAAAGTTTATGTTTCATCTCATCTTAGATGGAGACATGCTATGGTTGATGAAATGTGTACATTTCAAAACAGTGGTATTTGGGATCCCGTTTATCTTCATCTTGAGAAGTCTATTGTTGGCTGTCAATGGATATGTACAGTTAACGTTGACCCTGATGGTCAACTTCATTGTATTAAGGCTCATCTGGTGGCCAAAAGATATGCACAAATTTTTGGCTTAGAATGTGGAGACACCTTGCAGATGGCAAAAATGACTTTTTTGCTCGCCTAATTTTGTCCGTAGCTACTATTCTTCACTAGACCCTTGATCTTGTTGGAGCAGCCTCCTGGATTAGTTGTTCAAGGGGAGTCTTCTGGGCTAATAATATCTACAATTCTCTACATGGCCTTAAACAATACCCTAGGGCTTGGCGTTGGTAAATTTATCACTATGGTTCAATAGTATGACACAGAGTGATATGTAAATCTTGTATTTCGAAAGCTTTGCAGAGGACTAAGCACTTATCCTCACAATTTCTAAGACTGTTATTCATCATTACAGATGATCTCAAGTATAAATGAACCATAATAACCATAAGGAACCACTCAATTAAATAGGAAATACCTCAAATACATGATCCAAAGGACAGAGAAAAGGTTGTCTAGTCATCGTTCCCTCCAAAACACCAGGATGTGGAAACCATAGCCTATCAATCCTGCACCATAGTGGAGGCATGACCTAAATATATACATAAAGAGCCCAATTTAAGATCAAAATATATAATTTATGAAGTGAAAATGCACTAGAAAAGAGAAACCATCATTCTTCATCACTAAAAACCACCAAACCAGCCAATCAATTGCCCCTAGTGTGGAAGTCAACCACATATATCAACCATGGCAACATGTTAGCCAAAAAGATTGTTTTTGAATATATTTTGATTTTGGATTGTAGGACTGCTAGCAATTTTAATCATGTGAAAGTAAATTCCAAGAATTCTTTGTCTACATCAATAACCTTTTGGCAGTTTTTAACGGAATCTTATTTGTTGAAAGGGGGAGGGGAAGGGGAATGAAGAGAGCAGCAGTTAAAGTATGCTAGATCTTTTCACTGCACTGAGCAATAAGAAATCAAATACATCAATAAAAAAGAGGAGGGAAAAGCACCAAGGAACTATGAAGCAGAAGTGATGAGTACTGTTGTAAATGTTCTAATAACAATTCTACCAATGATGGTGCAAAGAATGTGAATCCTGTACTCAACAGTAGCACAGGAAGATGCAATAAAAGCTAAACCATAATAAGAAATCAAATACATCAATAAAAAAGAGGAGGGAAAAGCACCAAGGAACTATGAAGCAGAAGTGATGAGTACTGTTGTAAATGTTCTAATAACAATTCTACCAATGATGGTGTAAAGAATGTGAATCCTGTACTCAACAGTAGCACAGGAAGATGCAATAAAAGCTAAACCATAATTTTATAACCCTAAAACATCAACATCAAAACATGCCAAGATCAATATATTGCAAATGGTAGTAGACAATGAATTTCAAAAGATAAAGGCTTCTAAACCAACCAGAACAATAACAAATACATTTTATCTCGTGATTTCAGGGACAAATTGGAAACTTTATTCAAGCAAAAATCGGCGCTAAATGCTAATAATGACATTTACCTTGTATTATACAATCTTACGATTTCAATAAGTGACACAACAGAAATTTAGTTGAGGAAGCATATAATCATTTCTCTTCTACCAACTAAAATATATGTACAATATTGCATCCATCTGGTTTGCATTATGCAAACAACGAAAGAGCAATGCTCAGTTACAGAGTTAAATGAAGTAACAAGCTAGTTCAGAATTCTAATACTAAGGATTACTAGATTGTCAAGCTTCTACCCAAAAACAAAAAGATTGTCAAACTAGTTTATTGAGTAGTATTGAGCCAAAAAATAGAAGTTCACTACATCTTTCATGTAATTGCTTATGGCTGATGACTTCACACAGGACTCATAAGAAATGTTAATTAACAGTACTTTATACTAATTACGATGCTCAAGAGTGCTGATGATGAGACATTTGCAGTTCAACATATGATACAATAAGGATATATGAATTATGATCCCAGAAAATAGTTCTTACCAGTGTTCTGTTCAGAAGGGAAGCAATTGCAAGTGCTGTTCTAATCTGTTTCATCTGGACAAATTCATGTACAACATATATTACAACATGTAACATCATAATGTCCATTCAAAATGCAGAAGTGAAAAAGATCAGGTCAATACATGCATACTTGGTAATTAACAAGGGTAAAATGTGATCCAATGGTATGCTTCCCGCTTAGCAACAAGCTTTTTGGAATAGATGGCTTAAATGACAAGAAACCCCCTGCATCCTTTAAAAGTTAGGTTGCAGTATTTTCATGAAAAGGAGTCATCAACATATCAACCATAGGCATACTGCAACTAATGCATTGACACATTAAGTCTCAACTTTTAGTTTTCAGCATCATGGTATGAGTGTATGATGCTAGCTTGAATGGCAGATAGAGTAGAAAATCTCTCAATGCACAACTAAAGTAAAAACAAATAATGGAATTAGAGTATTCACACATATGCATTGAAAAAGAAAATGAAGTGTGTCATGAACCAACTCTCCCACAAGCTTAAGTTGTTAGGTGAAGTCACATGAATAATTTTATATTATTTTTCCAACATGCCTCCTCACACAATAATCTTTTGGACTTGAAGAGTGGACAATAGATAGGCCTACATACCCCGAGCTAAAAATTTCCACTATATTTATTAGAAGGTTATTAGAAGAATGAGAGTGACAAGGATCGAACTCGAGACCACTTGATAATAGAGTCTCTAAGACCATGTCATGAACCAATTCTCCAAAAAGCTTATGTTGTTAGGTGAAGGCATATGTATGATTTTTATATTATATTACTAAAAAGTGAATTATATGCTCACCCAAATTGAGGGAGAGATAACTAATTACCAGAAGGATTATAGTATTCTGGTGGATCACGGAAAAGCATGGCTTCTCGCAAGCGGTGGCGCTTTCCTTCAGTGCCTGCATATTGAAATGTTGTGTGCACTGCATATGGGTCCAACCTGAGTTGCTGATACATAGCCTACAATCATAATATGCAAGTATATTCTTAGAAAAACTGGCACACAATTTGTTTCTCTACATCCTATGGTCCAGACATTTAATTGTGTAATAAATCAGAAAAAGAAGGAAAACAAAATTGTTAACTATGTCCTACCTGGACAAAATATGTATGTCCACTACAGAAGATACTTGAAGGAAAAATTCCAAGCTTTAGATTTCCATCATAAGCATAAACAAGTCCACTGTCCTCATCAACAGATGGTCCTAACTGTCTGTGTACAATTTCATTAAACCCATTCTGATCCCATATCTTTTCATCAGCTAGAAGCAGTTCTTTCCATTCCTTTGCCAATTTTTTAGCAGATTCTGTAGGTCTCCAATGGAAAATTCCTATGTTGTAGGCAGCACCAACTATCCAAGGAGATGGACACAATCATCAATATAGTATGCGGTCTATAATCTATCAAAGCTAAGCAAGTGCAACAAGCCAACAATATGTACAATAAAATGAGAGACGAAGATAAGCACTAAAAGAATAAGAGCAATAAATTGGACATCGAGATTCAAAACAAAATACAAGGGAGAAAAAACCTTCAAATTGTGGTCTTTAATTTGCTAAATTAGCTTTATGCCAAAGAATGTGCCAAAGGATGTGAACGTCAGTAAGAAATTTTTTTGTTTCTAAATACAGAAAAGACACATTTCAGATTCTAACTAATAGATTCCATGCTGAAAATGGACTTTGCTTATGCCTGATGACTAAGTTGGTATGAGTTGACATAAAGGGTGACTCTATATTCATATAACGGACGTTTTCATGCCATAGATGTCATTTGCTTTTGACTTGCAAATGATAGGGTAAAAGTTCAACATAGCTCATAATTATGGCAAGTGCAGAAAATAAGCCTACGACAAGAAGTCAAGAACCAATACTTGCACAGTAAAAATCACAACAATAAGTTCTGCTCATTATATAATACTCACCTTCTTGCCAAATTTCCAGACTATCATCAACAACTGTTGGTACAACTTGATCACTGGATGTCAAAACATCTGCTTCAGGATAACGACCAATATATGGAAGTGGGTTCTGCTCCACAATACATAATTGAATATATCTTTTAGGAATAAAATATATCTCAGAAGAACAATTACATAATAGGGTTCGAGACATCGTTAAAGATGAGTATAAAAGTTGATTATGCACGTTGAATATAACAGATAAAAAGTCATAATAATGGTGCAAAAAAAGTAATATCAAGACAAAAAGAAAGGACACTAGATAGGATTAGTGAATTAACAAGTAGGAAGTAAAAATAACAAAAAAATTGATAGATTTATGATATAAATCATAGGAGAGAGGAAACAGGGAATATTCGGCTTTTTTCCCGAACAAATGTGTTTGACACACAAAAAATACCTATTTCATTCATTTTTCAAAAGATATTTCAAACTAATGCAATCAATCCCACTAGTTAACCGTACAGGACAAGTCCCGCTCGTCAATGATGCGAGATTTGATGCCAGCATGGAAGTCCCGCACGTTGACCATGCAAAACTCTTTAAGTTTTGCACGTTGACCGTACAAGACTTAATGACAGCGGGGTAAGTCTCACATTTTTGCTATAAAGTCCTATATGTTTGCTATGTGGGACTGCCACGCTGGCATTAAGTTCCGTATGGTCAACATGCGGGACTTAAAAGAATCTCGCATGGTCAAGGTACAAGACTTTCACGCTGGCATTAAGTCTCGTATAGTTGACGTGCAGGACTTCTCTCGTACGGTCAACGTGTAGGATTGATTTCATTAATTTGGAATATCTTTTGAAAAATAAATTAAATGAGTAATTTTTTTTTAAAAAAACACATTTGTTTGGTCAAAAACCTGGAAATATTGTAGTCAATACGCATTTTGCTCCACCCTTTGGAATTTGGATCATTCATAAAAAACTAAGCTAGCATATAAATCACCATTATACCTAAACATATATTGAGAAATGGAGAAAAGCACCTTCAACCAAACCATGTCAGTATCACACATCAACAACTCATAACCAAAGGGCAGTATCGAGTTTATCAGAATAACTTTTTCTCTACCCATTTTATGAAATGTTGGAGACCCCCAGCCAACATCTATTGTACTCATATGGCTGCCCATGTCAAAAACCGGTACTCCTTTCCAATAAAGTGCCTCCAATAATTTGGTGTCCATTGCACCTAAAAGGTAGATTTCATACTCATTTTACAAAGTCTAATGAACTGCATAAAATACCGGATATGCATTTCTAGCAAGGGCTATTACAAAACTAAACAAAATACATGATAGAAAAAGATAGAAGGCTTAAAACAGCAATGCTCACCAACAAGATAATTAGAAAGTCCCAGATCATTCAGCTGTTTAACCCAAGTCAGAATAAAGTCCATGAATGCATAGTTACCAAATGTCACTATTATAATGTTATCTTTCACCCTTTGCTGAACCAGTTCTTTGGTCAGTCGGAAATCCTTCAAAGGTGGCATCTTTTGATTGCGAGGTGGAACATCCAACAAAGGTCTTGTCCACACATTTTGTGGCTCAGGGGGAGGAGAGGGCACGGCATGCACCATTGCTGGGTGAGAACCGTTAAGTGTTTGATCTGCAAGACGAGGATCCTCATCAGAAAAGCATGCTCAATTAAGGAATGAAATCACACCCACGAATGAAATTAAACCAAGGCTTGATGAATTGAACAGTGTCTTGCACATGGGAAGGTAACTAACAACCAAAGACTAGTCGAAGGGTACCACCGCTGAATAACAATGCATTCAAAGACTCAAAGAGATAAAAGTGGAACCAATGCCAAATGCTTCAACATTATGACATACTAAGAAAAACTAATAATACATATCAAGCTTTCATAACTCAAATTCAAAAAGGGTATTTCACATTTAAGCCAAAACTACAAAATAACAAGAAAAGACATGATTTTTATTTTATGAAAACAATACATGTAGTGTAAAAAGGGTAGATGTTTGAGTGAGACGTACTTGAAAGGGGAGGGAAAGAGGACCATTTAGCAGAAGGGTTAGTTGAACCAGAGGAATATATGGCAGAGAAGACGTATAATGAGGAAACCACGATGCCAACGATGACAACGGTGTAGATCGTTAGGAACAGAGGCCTAGAATGAGTCACTTCCTCACACCCCATCTTATTCTGATTCTGATTCTGCTTCTTCTTCACACCTTCATCTTCGTCTTTCTTCCTTGGAAAATGGAGAGAAGGAAAAAGGGGAGTGTTCAGATTTTGGTGCAGATTGTCATTTTTCCAATTTCACTCTGTTCATTCTGTTCTGGCGCTGTTACGGAGGGTCAACCATTATACTTGTTACTTGGTCAGTGTTCAACGTGAACCAAATGAATATGAAAACGAAACTATGCCCAAACGAATCTTAACTACTCTAATTTCATCAATACAATAATGTTTTTGGGACAAAAATAAATATAGAAAAATAAAGTAATTTGTTATATTAAAATCACAGACAAATATTCGAGATTTTTTAAGTAATTGTAGTATTTAATTAGATTATCGGGGGGAAAAACTCTCTAATGTTTTAGAATATCCTTTTGCAAAACTTTTCTTATTTTAATTTTAGACAAGGTGCATAATAATAAAAGAAAAACAAATAGAAAAGATGTTAGTTAACTCATATTGCAAATAATAATTCATAGTTTCATACGCACGCACCTATTATTGACTGTTAATAATAAGTAAAATTAATCGTTAATAATAATATTCAAAAAATTAATTAATATTTTAATTCATTAAAAATGAAAGGTCACATCAACCATTAAATAAAAATAGAATCAATATTAATAATAATTGTAAGATTTTTTTATTGATCCCCGTATATATATATATATATATATATATATATATATATATATATATATATATATATATATATATATATATATATATATATATATATATATATATGAGATAAGATCATTTGACACCGGTATCAAACTTTTTAATTTAACACCGAATTTTAACCATTGATTTTCATCAATCAATAATTATGATTTATTGAGTTAAATTTATTAATTAATAATTAATAAAAGTAAAGTCACACTTCTTCCAAAAGAAAATAACATAATATAATATTAATTTAATTTCAATAGTGGGATTGTGGGAATTCTATTTTATTATAGAAGAATGGTTTAACTTAAATTCGCAACTTTTCATTTACTAAAGCTTTGTTTGGGAGTTAACTTTAGGAAGAAAAAGAAAGAAATGAGAGAATTTTATTAATCTCTTCTCTTATTTGTGAGTTTAAAAAAATGGCGGAAGGAAATTGGAGAGTTTTGTGAAATCCTCCAAAACCCTTCTCACCCACAAAATTAAAGTTTTCCCAATTTGAGGGGTTTGAGGAAGAAAATATTGAAAATTATTTATCTACCATTAGCATTAAAATAATTACATAAATGTGAATAATTTTTAAACGTGACACTATTAGAAAAATCTCAAATACAGAAAAAATTTATCGACAGAAAAAAATTTCGTTGAAAATAATTGCGAAATTTATGACAAAAATCATATTACGTCAAAAATAGAAACGAAAAAAAATTTCGTTGAAACTAGAGAGGGAACAAGATTTTGTCATAACCAATAATATAAATTTTTTATGAAAAAAAAAAGTTCAGTCAAATTTTTTGATAGAAACTAAATTCCTTCTAAACATTCGACAGAAACATTTCCGTTAAACTTTTCAACGAAAAATAATTCTGTTGAAAATTTTGACGAAACACATTTCCAAAAAAAAAAAAAATTGACAAAAAATAATTCTGTCAAATTTTTTTACGGAAAATATTTTCGTCCAAATTTTCGATGAAATATATTTTCATCAACATTTTCAACGGAACACATTTATTGAGAAAATTTTGACCAAATAATATTTATGTAAAACATTTTGACCAAATATATTTCTGTAAAAATTTCATACAAAATTTTTTTTGTCAAAATTTTTTATGAAATCTAAATTTCCTCGAATTATTACCCTAAAAATTGTTACAAAAAAATATATCCGTCGAAATTTTGATGCAAAATATTTCCAAAGTTTTCAACATAACACATTTCAATCGAAATTTTTTTTCGAAAAATATTTTCGTAAAAATTTTGACTAAAAAAAAATTTCTTCAAATTTCTTTACAGAATCTAAATTAATTTCGACCGAACACATTTTCGTCGAAAGTTTTCAACAAAAAAGTTTCCATCAAAATTTTCGACGAAACACATTTTCATTGAAAATTTTATACGAAAATTATTTTCATAAATTTTTTTTACAGAAATATTTTCTGTAAAAAAATTTGACAAGAAAAATATTCTGTCAAAAGTCTTTACAAAATCTGAATTTAGTCGAAAGTTTCGACAGAAACATTTCCCACAAAATTCTTGACAAAAAAAAAATCGTCCAAATTTTTGTTGAAACACATTTCCATAAAAAAATTGGGACGGAAAACATTTCATCAAAATTTTTGACGAAATTCTTTTTTTTCTCAAAAATATTTAAGAAATTATTTTCGTCAAAACTTTTGATAGAAACTAAATTTATTTGAAAATTTCAACAGAAAATTTATTTCTGTATAAAATTTCGACGGATAAAAAATTTCGACAGATAAAAAATTTTGTCTCTTTTCATTGAAAAATATTCTAACAAAAAAATACTTTTTCGATGGAATTTTCATAGTTTGCAACGTAGAAATTTCGTTAAAAATATGATATTTTTTAGTAGTGGAAAAAGTATATAAATAATTTTGTTAGAAATTTTAAATTTTATTTCATTTTAAAATATAATAATTATATTAATTTTTAAAGAAAGGGAGAAATGGTAAAATATCTCATTAATCCTTTATTTTTCTTCATTATAATTTTTTTAACTCCCAAACAAGAAAAAGATACCTTCTAATTTTCTTCCCTTACTTCTCCTCCCTCCCCTTTAGATCCCCTTCCTTTCCTTCCCTTCTAAACTCCTAAATAAACTGTAAAACTTTACGATTTTTAATTTTTTGAATGTAGGAATGATTCAAAGGTTTAATTTTGAAAAGTTATAAAGTGCTGCTTTCTAGTGTTCCATGCCACGGGTATATTACAAAGACCGGTTCAATTGATTCACCTAAAAAACTCATGAACCGAATTCAGAGTTGGGGTGGTCATGCATGTAAACCTTTTCTTTCTGTTTGAACCTTCTCTTCCTCTTCCTATCTTCATTAACTGTTGGCTTTAATGTCTCTCATTATCCCTATATTTTCAACACTCTCGCAATATGTTATTTTTTACTTAAAAATAAAAAAATGAATTCACATGAAAGAAGGGCGTAATAAACATGATTAAATGATTTTTTTTTTCAACTTTGATAAATGATATGCCAAATTCCCCACATGCTATGGGCCATTTATTTTCATTGCTTATGCGAAGGAGATACTCCTTTTCTGTCGAAGTAAGAGGCTTGCCACTAGATATCATTACTTTATCATTAATTTCTCAATTGGTGATTAGTTTGCTGAATTGACCCTAAGTTTTGCATCATGTGTCATCTTTACCCCTCGAGTTTTGTCGTCTCTTTTTATTTTATCCTTCAAGTTTGAGAAATTTAATGTATGTCTTTTTTTAAACTAGAAGTTATTTATAAGCATAATTTAGATCAAATAAGTTTTGAGAAAAACCCTCTTTTTTATAAAGAAGAAAAAATTTAAGAGCTAAATAGGAGCTTTTTTAAACTCTTATCTGCTTTTTTTGAATTATATTTTTTTAAGATAAAGAGCTATTAAGATAAAGAAAAAGATAATTTTCTTGAAATATGTGCTTTTAAGCTAAAAATTATATGTAATTATCAAACAGTTTTTAACTTTTTTTAAACTCTTTTTTTAAGTTTTATCTTATAAGTAACTTCTGACTTAAAAAAAAAAAAAAAAAAAATCCAAACAGGCTAAAGTAGATTGGGCCTGAATTATTTGTGTTTTTTTAAATGAGTCTATTTTCTTTAATATTCAAAAGAAAAATATACAACATAAAATGTATAAAAAAGAAGAAGAGGAAATGATATGTGAAAATAGAAGATTGTTTTGACTTTTCATAAATAAGTAAATAAATAAACAAAGCGTGCTTCCCTAAAAGAGAATTAAATTAAAATTAATTAACATACAACTAATGCACCAAATATTATAATAGAGTTATGGTTTATTAAAAATATAAAGTATTTGTAGTGTCCAGATATTTTTATTTTGATCACTAAATTTGTAATTTTATCATTGAATGGATGACTCACATTTGATCGTATTTGGTGGGATTTGTAATTTGATCACTAAACATTGTTGTTCTATTTTGTTGGGTCTTCTAACTTGTTAAATTGAAGATGACGCTTCATTAACACAAAGGAGGGGTGTGTGTCTACCTAATTCAACGCTTAAAGTCAATGAGAGACTAGGATAGAAAATACAATTAGGGTTAAATTCATACATAAAGATGATATAATTATAGAAGAATTAAAGGAGGATCATTATTATCATTATTGTGGAGTGATGGGCACCTTCCGAAAGAAGTTCTTTCATTTCGTGAGATTTGCATAGACGTTAATGTTATACATACTATGATTGAGGTGGGATCCAAGGAATTGGGTTCACTCTAAGCCCAATACAAAAGTCCACAGCAAGTCAGATTGTCTTTCGATTCAAATTAGACAAATATAATTTAGGACTAAGAAAAATTTTTTAACACCCATTAGCTATGTATGACAAATATATATAAAAGTATCTAATGTTATTTTAGATAATTTTGTTTAATATTCACCGAAACGATGTCGTTTTTGGTTAAAAAATTAAAATGACAAACACTATTATAATCCTGAAATAAATTAAAATTACAAATACATTATGATTTCTGTCGCAAAATGACATGGTTCGATGAACATTAGACAAAGTTGTCTAAAATAACTTTAGAAAAAATATATATATATGGGTTTGGTGTTTGTCATTTTAAATGACATAAGTTATGTCATTTTAGGAGAGAGATAGACACAAAAAATGGAAATCATGAGAGAGAGAAAGTTGATGGTTTTTTTTAATTTAAATTTTAAACAAAAAAATTTATTTTGTGTCTATCTCTCGCTTAAAAGGACATAACTTTATATCATTTAAAATGACAAACACTTTATATATATATATATATATATATATATATATATATATATGAGGTAGGGTCTTTTAACACCA